AAGCTCTTAAATGTTATGGGAACAATATAAACCGTGAAGATCAAGGTACTTTACCATGGTTAACGGCTGGTCTGGGACTGCCAAGGTGTCGAGACGAGTAAGAAGATTCAATGCAACACTTACCTGCAAATAAGAAAATAAATTAATTAAAAACTGCTGTAATTATTATGATTTATTACAAAATTTCGTCAAACAACTTCACTGTCCACAGTCCTTCTTGAGAAGAGAATACTCGTTCACCTAGTTAAGAAATTCAACGAAGTTTTTGAAACTGGGACTTTCATTGCGCTGTTATAGTGGTCACGCCACCGGGTACTATCCTCAGCCAGATGAAAACAGCTCGTGCCATCACAACATACTTCCTTAACATCCATTCTCGACATAATCCTCCCATGGATGCCTAGTTCTACCAACTGATCTCTTTTTTTCGTGTCTCTTCTGGCTAAAACTTAGAAAGCATATCACGTTTCTTTGTGCAAGCTGTATGCCCCGCCCACATTATTCCCATTGATTTGGTAACACTAATATTTGGTGCACAAAGCAAAAAAAAAAGCCCCTGGATACACAATTTCTCCGGTCCCCCTCCCATTGGCATTTCAACAAACCCCAAGCAGAGCATCATACAATAAACAAACAACCCTAAACAGCAAGAACAAATCTTAACTAAAGCTCAAAATAAATCGCTCTCAGAATTCTGATTTTGTGCTCGTGAATCAGCAAACATTTAAACCGGATGGAACGCCGTGGATGACCACGAAGTCCGTGACGTCATCGTAATTTTCAGAGCAGTCATTCCACCTTGCACAATGAAGCATCAAGTAGCCACGCAGGTTATAGAACACATCAGCAAAGCCCAACATATCCTACGACATTTGAGCTCCCGGTACAGTGGAGTCTCGATTATCCAACCTAAATACGATTGGAGGACGGTCGGATAATCGAAAATGTCGGATAATACGAAGGCTAATGAAAAACACGAGGGTAAATATCAATGGAGCATTCCGACACGGCACGTCAGACAAACGAAGGTCGGATTATGGGGACTGCTGTACTAATGCAATGTGCTAACACAAGGACACTTTATGGCTTTCCTATTTCAGTCACAGACTCTGCCGAAAGGTAAGGAAAGTAAAGTTCCCGACATGCAAATACTCTTCCAGCGACAGAGCTTCTCCTATAAAGTTTATTTGATATCCAAAGTAAGGTCAGAGTTGTGAAATCTGAATTATTTCACCGCTAATGCGTTCTGACAAGAACATCAACACCTCGTTTTATAAACATTTGATTACCAAATTTCCAGAACTAAACGTAAAAATGTTTCACTGTAACAAAAACAAGCCACATCGCCCAGTCGAACCTTGCATCTGACTTTATCGCCTGTTCTGAGGTTCCGTTTGTTTGTTTTTATTTTATCCCTCCTTTCTTTACATTTAATGTTTGTTCTAATCAACAGCGCTAATTTAAAATTAATTACCGTTTAACTAAACAACTGGTTTGCAAACCTATCTCAAACCATGACATATCCGCTTATTGTCTTTACATAAGACACAGAAGTAAAGATTTTGAGGAGTAAGTGATCCCATGCGCGCGGCTTATTCTTCCATCGCCCTAACGACGAAGGCAGCAAGGACCTCTGAAACGTTGGTAAGCTTCTACCAGACAATACGATGCTTCTGCAACCAAGCAGTGCCTCCAAGCGGATGCTCCGACAGCAAAAGTAAAGCAAGTCCCTTCCTTCCACAACAACAAAGTTACAGCAAAACTGTACGTAAAAAAATGTTTGAAAATTTTTCGAAAAGTATGCTAATCTAGGAACAGCACTAATACAAATGAGGTTCACAGCAAAATCAGATGAATAAATTCTGTGAATGAAGATTAATGTCTTCTGGGATGTTGCACTGTTTAGTCTCGATCGTCCAAGAGGTGCTTGCTGCCTCCATCATCGGGACTTATCGCTCTGATAACGGAGGCTGTAATAACCTCTGAAACATCGGTCAGTTCCTATGAGACTACTCAACTCAACATCTCAGAAAGCAGTTACCTTCACACTTGCCGCCGTGAGACCCTAAAATGAAAATAAATGTATAGATAATTTTGATGGGGAATTCTCTTCAAAGTAATTCACTAAGAAGACCTAGATGGAGATGGGAGGATAACACTAAGGTGAACCTTAAAAGAGCAGACTGAGAGGACCGGAAATAAATGGAACTGGCTCGCGATCATAACCAAAGATACGCCTTAATATTAGCGGTATTAGCCTTTTGAGTTCTGTTGTCATGGTGTTAGCTAATTGATGTATCGTCCTTAAATAAAGAAAATACAGATATTCTGGGAGGGGGCAGTTCTGTTATGATGCTACCGATGGGCAGGCCTACATGCTCATATCAGACACAGATTGCCCGTAGGTGCGGCCTCGCGCGTCTGAGTTACGACAAAGCAGCCTACCATCACACAATAAATGAAAACCACATCAGCTGTTCCATGTTCATTCAGGAACTTAAAAATGCGGCGTTGAATAAAACAAAAAACCCACTATCCTATACATGCTTTGGATAGAATGTTGTGTTTTTCCACTCTTTAATGTACACAAGGAATTTTAAGAACAGAATGAAAATAAGAAGCGAAATATGATGGGGGTAAGAGGTTAATAGTTAACCACACGATGGAACACAATGAATTTGCTACACGTCTAAACAGATTACTTTCGTTCCCTCCACTCTTCGTTGTGGTTTTAGAGAAATCTTCCTGGCAGACGTGACCCACTATTAACCGCAGTTTATCTGAAGCATTTCACCGGCTAAAACTCATTTAATTAATACGCTATTTAACGACCTTAAAAATTATTGTTTCTTTTTTATTATTCGGCAAAGAGTAATAAGTCCCTTGACTTAAGATGAATCTAAAGACACCCGCAATTAATTGTAATCTCCTGGTTCAGTTTCCTCACAATTTTATTTGAACGATCAAAAATAATTCAGTGAACAAGCTTAAGCAAAACTCATTGCAATGCTGTGCCAAAATAAACAACTCATAGAAGCAATGATGTATAATTAAGTCTGCAAAACTCGTTTAAATTGTATATTATTTATCTCTACATCTACCTGACACCCCACCTTAACATAATCCCGTATGCTTTCCCACTTTGTTAGAAATGAACGGAAGTAGTATACGTATATATGTTTTATCCACTCTGTTTATATCCGGGTCGTGCAGAATCTTAATTCTATGGACTGGCTGGCATCGTCCTTGAAGTGTCTGCATGACGGTCGAATGCGAAACAGCGTGCATTTTCAATACGGGCCTATAAATGGCTTGCCGGAAAAAGGCATGCTGGTGTCCTGGGTTCCGCGATAGACCGATTGTAACTTTATTTCTTAAGTATCGGCTCAGTGAAAATACTGTGAGGATTGAGAAATCATAAACTCTGCAACTTAATATTGTAATTACTGGCTACCATAATTAGTTTTCTTGAAATTTGAACTCCAAAGTTACCGCAGTCAGATTAGTGCAGTAGGATTGGAAATGTACAGTACTCCTTGGTGTACATTGATATTCCAAAGGTATTCTTAATGCCGCCATCACGAAGGTCACTGTTAAGCAACAATGTGACCTCAAGCCATTGTTCCGTTTATGATTTCTGAAGTGTTGTGCAACAATATCTTTAGGTAATTGCAATACTGACGTGGTCCAACGCCACAATGTACTCCAACAATGAAATCACAGTCCCTGTCCCATGGCCATGGGGGTTGTCTTCACGGCTTGGGCGTGAAGAATACCTAATTATCCCGCCTGTGCCAAGGGATAAGGAGGGGACAGAAGATATGTATGACTTCACCTTCATTCCAGTCCCTTCTGGCCCTTTCACACTGTAGACCGACCGCCGGCGACCCAGTCGCTGAACGACCAAAACTATCAGCGACCAAACGAGGAGACCAGCGCAGACAGAGGCCTCAGCCTCAGTTAAAAAAAAATGCAGTATGGACGTCGAGGAGATCACTATAATGATAAAATTCGTCAAACAATTCCACAACCTCTTCCCACTGAATTTTTTTCAACTCCCTGTTTGCATAATCGGGACTTGCAAGGTCCGAAATGACTCTTCGTGACTCTACAGCCGAAATAAATCTTTCAGTATCAAAACGCATGATATACTGATCACTTGAGTGACATGAACAAGAAACAATGGATATGTCACCTCTCTGAGCTCTGGTCGCTGACTGAGTTGCCCGCAATGTGAACACGTGATTGCCATCAATGTATCTCGTGGTCGTTGGTCTCCTGTGCGTCGCTCACTCCTTGTTGGTCGACGGCGGCCATTGGTCGCGGTCGCACTCGTGTGTAAGCTCGTACTTAGCTTTTCTACCTAGCGGTCGTTCAGCGACTGGTCGCCGGCGATCGGTCGACAGTGTGAAACGGGCCTCAAAGGGTCACTTTTCCTCTGGCTCTCCGCCGAACCAGCCTTTCACACTGGTCTCTTCCTGTTGGTCAGAGCATCTCCTCACTTTTTGGTTCTGGTTGGCCAGTTGTCCATAGCATGGTCTTTAATCTAACCCTATAAATACACTACTGCCTAACACGCTCACTTCAGTCCTGAACATGAATACAGAATGTTCCTCCGAACAAGCAAACACAGGCGTTACAACCAAAGGAGACCAACATCGACACCTTCACCGCCGTGAGATCCTCAAATCGCATGTCAAATGTGGTCCGACTGGTTAACAGGTTTACAGTCGTTTTAATTAATGTGGATGTCGATAGAGAGCTCGTTCTGGATTTCGGTTATCGATCGGTTTCGATCAATTCACACGACGAACCTGGAATTTTAATTATAAACTTCAGTTCCGTGTAATTAAAAATAACTTAAGAAAAGAACGAAAAATAAACGGATGTGGAACCCGACCATTAACTGGGTTGGGTGGAATGGGCCGGGAAGATAAACCGCGCCTTGTTCATTTACAGGCCCTTTATCAACTGCATAGTTAATATAGAACTGTTGTAAATTGTGAAATTGGAAGAATGCCTGAGTTCAAGAAAGCGGTAGTGACCTATCGCAACATTTTGCCTGGGTGAACAGTGGAAAACTTATGACAGAGCCTCCCCAAAGACCTCCCGAATATAAAGAC